TACGAGTGAATAATTTTCAACAAATGAGCCAAAAACATACAATATGGAGAAAAGAAAAGAAAGCCTTTTCAAAAATGGTGCTAGGAAAATAGGAAAGCCACATGCAAAAGAATGAAATTAGACTGCTATCTATTATCATATGCAAAAATTAATTCAAAATGAATCAAAGGCCTAAATATGAGACCTGAAACAATGAATTGAACAGAAGAAAACATAGGTACTAAATTCATAGATCATGAGTTTAGAGAGGATTTTATGAATTTGACCTCAAAGCCAGAGGAAGTAAAAGCAAAAATAAATGAATGGGACTATATCAAACTAAAAAGTTTCTGCACAGCAAAAGAAAAAAAAAATCAACAAGGCAAAGAGGAAACCAATTGAATGGAGAAGATATTTGCAAACAACACCTCCAATAAGCAGCCAAAATTCTAAATATACAAAGAACTCATACAACTTAACAACAACAACAACAAAACAATCCAGTTAAAAAATGGGCAGATGACCTGAACAGACACCTCTTTCAAGAAGACATACCAACCACTAATGGACATATGAAAAGATGCAAAACTTTACTAGCTATTAGAGAAATGCGAATCAAATCCACAATGAGATACCACTCACATCTGTTAGAATGGCTATCATCAACAGAACTAGTAACAACCAAGTGTTGGAGAAGTTGTGGGGAAAAAAGAACTCTTACACACTGCTTGTGGTGATGTAAATTGGTAGAGCAACAATGTAAAACAATACAAAGTTTCCTCAAAAAACTAAGACTAGAATTACCTATGACCTAGCAATCCTTCTTTTGGCTACCCAAAAAATTTGAAAATCTTTATCTGTAAAAGTATATGCACCCTATGTTCACAGCAGCATTATTAATGGTGGTCTGGACATGGAAGCAATCAAAGTGTCCTACAATAGATGAATGGATAAAGAAGATGTGGTACATATATACAATGGAATATTACTCAGCCATAAAAATGGTGAAATACAGACATTTGTGACATGAATCGATCTTGAGACAATCATGCTAAGTCAGACAGAAAAAGCTGAAAGCTGTATGATTACCATCATACGTGGGATATAAAAATGAAAGCAACAAACAAGACAAGACAAACATACAAAAATTCATAGACACAGACATTAGTGGTTAGCAGACGAAAAAACAAGAGGGAAGGTAAAAAAGGGTAAAGAGGATGAAAGGAGATTTGACTTTGGGTGGTGAATACATAATGTAAAATACATATGATATATTATTGTATTATACACTTGAAACCTATACAATTTTATTAACCAATGTCAGCCCAATAAATTTAATTTAAGAAGCTATCATTTGGGGAATTTACAACAAGTTATGATTATGACAAAATAGAGGTTTCTAAATTGTAGTATTTTATTATTGTAAAACACGTTTCAAAAGAAAATTTTTGTCATTATTATTTTTATAGCTCCAAGAGTTTATGCGAAAGTTTAATTCAAAAAGTTGTTAGGTCATAGAGTACAAAAATAGTAAGTGCCCTTAATAATGCATTCTGATTTCCTTCTTTCTATACAGTTATCTATTTAGTGCAAGAATGATGTTTTACTAGACTTACAATAATATTTTAAAATTAGTAAATAGGCAAAAATAATAAGCATTTATATGTTTCAATTTTATAATTTTTATTATTAATGTGTTGAAAATTTTACATATATGTGCAATCTGGTTTATGCTGTGTTTCTATGCATATAATTCTGTTGAAGTATTTTGTTTATTTACCTTGCTTGTAAGCACTTATACATTAACAATATACAGTTCAAAAAACTTGGCAAGTCAGAAGGAAAACAATATAAATGAATACAGCTCAGAATGCTTTGGTGATCTTGATCTGGACTATGACCACTTCCCTTACTCTAAGGTTGGATACCCATTCTACCAGGAAATCTTAACCTGAGATATGTCGACTTTAGAGGTAGACAGCATTTGGCCGAGATAAACTTTTGAAAATGGATATGGTTTCCCTTAGCCACATTTTATCAAATCTGGAGGTCTGCCTTTACTACCTAAGAAAAAATAAAAGTCTGTTGTAAACTTTCCTCAGACCCATAGCATCTACTCTGATTGGGGACCTATCACATCACTGATCCACTTGATGAAGATCACTAGGTGTTCCTTTGAACACTTCAGAATACTTATTCCCTCCTACAGGGTTCCTTCCTGTACTTAACCTCTTTCTCACATTAATAATACTTACTTTCGGTTTCTTAAGAATTGGATCCTTACCTCATGTCAGCAAAATGCTGCTGCTGAGGTTGCTACAAATGTCTTGGAAGAAATGATTTTGCCCAATGTATTGAATCTATGTGTGCTATATTACAGCCAAACTGCTGTTCTCAGAAAAACTGCAGTCAGCTTGGCAGGGAATATTTAAATCCATTCAAGGAGTTTGTTCACCACAAGGAACACAAAATTGGTTCAGTCTTATATTAATTTCCTACTTCTGCTGTAAAATGTTACCATAAATTTAGTATGCTTTATATATGCTTAAATCTACATATATGTATTATTTTATAGTCCTGGAGGTCAAAAGTCCAAAAGGAGTCTTATTGGAATAAAACTAAGATTTTGGAAGTTCTGCATTCCTCCTGGAAGCTCCAGGGAAAGTCCATCTTGCTGTCTTATCCAGCTGCTAGAGGCCATCTGCATTCCTTGGCTCATGGATTCTTTCTCCATCTTCAAAACCAGCAGTATAGTAGCTTCATATATCACTGTCACATATCCTTTGACTCCGACCTGCCTGCCTCCCTCTAATAAGAACCTTTGTGATTACATTGGGCCCACACACATGATATAAGGTTATCTCTCTCTCCTCAGATCCTTAACTTGATCATAACTTCAAAGTTCTTTTTGCCAGGTAAGCCAACATATTCACAAATTATGGGGATTAGGACTTGGGAAACTTTGGGGGTTACCATACCACATTTTACCACATGGTCTCCAAAGATTCATGCCCACCTCATAAGCAAAATACATGTGCTCCATCCCAAATTCACAAAAGTCAAAACTCATACAGCGTTAACTTAAAGATGCTCTGCTGACTCATCTCAATGAAGTGAAGGACAGTTGGGTCTGCAATTGCTCTCCCTTCCTCCTGGATCTTCCTTCAGTTTGTCTGACTCTTGGGCTTGGTGAGTGTGAGTTCAGCTCCTTGACAAAGCCTCCATTATTGTTGAGCCATTTCCTGTAATGTCTCTCTCTCTGTGTCCTTATTCATATGTTATAAATATATACTTGTACATATATGTATTATATTTTCATAGTATTAACACATAAATATAAAAAAGAAATAAAAATTCCTCAATAATAATTTTTATGTGGATGACATGTTGAAATGATCCTATAATGGATATATATAATAATCAAAATATATTATTATAGATTCACCTTATTTATTTCTTTTTACTTTTTAAGAATGTGGCTACTTGAAAATATAAAATACATAGTGGCTCACATTATATTCCTATTCTAAAAAAATAGTAATGAAATTAATAACTGATTTCAGCAAGACTGCTATAAAAACGTCAAAATACAAATATCTAGTGCATTGTTATATATCAGTAAGAGAAGACAAAATTTTTCAATGTATGATTTACATTGAAAAATGTATGAAAAATATAGCAATAAAAATGTTAAAGTTTATCAGTGAAAGATCTTTATACTGAATACTAGAAAATACAATTGAGAGAAATTAAACAAATAAAAAATGGGGAAATATACATCCATTTTACTGAACTTTAAATTTATCTAAAGGTTCAACACAATGTCTTCTATCTTTTTGTTGGCAAAAAATTAAAAAAACAAATCAGATATTCATACTAATATGCAAAGGGTCACATCACCCAAGATAACCATTAACTTGAATAACAATGCTGGAGGATATATAATATCATATTCCATGAAGTAATAGAAATCTATAATAATTAAAATAGTATAATATTAGCACAAGTGTAGAAAAAACAGAAAAACTCATAAATGTTTACTTGATCGATGACCAATATTATGATTCAGTGCAGGACAGGAATAACAATCTTTAAATAAATTATGATTTTCCATTTGATGTCCTTATTGTAGATACAAAAAAAATTGTGGAAGATTGCATATCTAAATGTAAATTGTAGAAATATTTCCAAATATCTTTAGAGGAAAACATGTGAACATTTTTATGACATGCAAAGCAATACACATAAAATGGTTATCTGCTACTTTATAACAAATACTTAGTGGCTTAAAACGACAGCAGTCATTAATTATTTTATGGTTTCTTTGGATCAGGGATTTTGCAGTCACTCAGATTAGTATTTATGGATTTTGTTCTCCCAAAGATTAATATGGCTGCAATCATCTAACCACGTGTCTTGGTCTGGAGGATCTGCTTCCTCAAATGCTGAGAGGTTGGACAATCGAAATTAGTAAAAATACAGATTTGGGTCATTCATTTATAATTGTGATGCAATCAAGTTATATAGAAGTTTGTTCCTAATAATTAGACAGTTTTCATATACTCTAGGAAATACGGATTATCAAAAAAATCACCATGTATATGTATATCAAAGGCAGGTACAACAAAATTCAAAAACTAGTCATCTTACCAAGCACAACTGAAAAATAAAGATCTTAGCAAAAAGCCAAATAAAGCAATAACAAACCAAGGATTATGATTGATTCCATTCTGTGAAAACAAGTTAAAATAAATGAATTCCCCCTGATGCAAGGACTGAAATTAAATGAGGAGGTAAACAAATATACACATTTTGTAATTTAGAGAACAAATGTAGTCACTTGGGAGGAATTCAGGAGATGGTATTCTTGATGGTACTGATATTTGTGCTACAGAAAGTGGGTGCTGCTCTTCATGGTTACACAATGATGAAAATCTTATTTAATCCATGCTGCACTTGCTCCATAAACTCTTCAAATTCAGAATGAGTCAGTTACCATATGCCCCATGTCTCCTCATCTTAGATATCTGATAAAATAACTCAGCATAAAAAAATAAAAAACCCTCTCCTTTGATATCACATCTATATTTATAAGACTATACGAGAAACACAAAAACAAATATTTAGATGAAATATTAATGATTGTCACTAACCTCTGGAAGGCCACAATCACATTCCTCATGACTTTCCTTAAAGCTATTGCCACAACTTGATTCTCTTCCTTGGACGTTCACTTTTGAAATTGTTTGATTCTGAAGACATTTAAATTCAGGCTGTGAAACTATATGTTTAAATTCATCTATGCTGCAACTGCTAAAAAACTTTACACCACGGGAACGTCTAAAATTAAATTATATTACTTAGATAAATAAAATAAAATTAGTTGCAAAGTTACATTCTTCAATATAGCACTATTAATTCTGTATAACGTCAGTTTCAAAAAAAAAAAAAGCCAAAAAGAGAGTGTGCTTTTATTTTTAATATAAGTCATAAATAAAAGCAATGAGTCCATTTCTATGGTAACTGAATAGAATAGAAATCCAACAAGTAGAGGAAGTTAAGATGAAATGAGCTGGAATATATTAAAATACAACAGTATTTGGCACACAAAAAGCTCTATTTAAGTATGACCTATTATTTATTATTTTTGTATTATTTCCAAAATCATAATTATAATAATTATAAGAAGCATTAATGATCACTAAGAATATGAAATATACTAAGAAATTTAAATGAAATCTGAAAGAATAGAAGATAGTTGATTATGTTAATAAAAAAATCAGGAATATTTGTTCTTTGATAAGAAAATTAATCAATTAAAATATCTACATATTAAGTATATAAAATACATAAGCCCTAGATTCCTTTTTCTTTTTAATTTCTATTCATCTAAATGTATGGTTTATTGAGTTTTTGTTTAATTTTGTAACAATCTCAAAGTTAGAGAAACAATACAAATGCAGTCCAAAGAATAAATTTTGTTTCCTGAAACAGTTAACCGTAAGTTGCCAACAAGATGTTTTGGTAACTCTAAATATTTTAATGTAGAATTCTTACATAGAAATAAATTCTCCTTAAACAGATATGTAAAACCAGGAAATATTGATACATTACTAACACCTAATCCTCAAATTTCTTTCAGAATTCCACTTCATCACAATACTATCACTTTACAGAAAAAAGAGCCAGTTTGGGGTCAATCATTGCATTTAATTTTCATGCCTTCTTATACTAGTAACCTATGGTTTTGTTGGATTTCATAACCTCAAAACTTTATGATTATAGGCTGATTATTTGGTAAAATGTCCCTCAATTTTGATTTATGAAATGTTTTCTCATAATTAGACTGAAGTTATGCATCTTGGCAACATATCACAAGAGTTTATTTCGTTGCATCCTAACAAGTGGCACATGATTTTAATTTATTATATTAATAATAAAATTCTCTAAGATCAGATGATTAAAAGTATGTCTGTCAGTTAATAATTATTTAGAGAGAAGTACTTTGGTTTTATGGAAATCTCCCATTTCTAACTTTCCAATTTATTCTTTTATGTATTTACATAAATATGGAATCATATCTTCCTATTTTACTATTTTACATTACTATCATTATTACTTATGACACTCAAATTGTCACATATTTAGCTATAAGGAGGCCCTTCAAACTGGCTTTTGTGTCCCTTTGACAAATCCACTATTCTTTGAACACCACCTTATATTCTGACACAAGATGTTCCAGGCTCACTTGCACTTTCTCTGCCTTAACCCTAGAATCAATCATCTCTCCAAGGTGCCCCCATTCCTCTTAGTAGAGAATGGTACTATAATTTCAAAAATATTATCTGAGTGCTACATGTCCTCATTGTTATTAGATTTTTAAAGGACAGACACCAAGGCTATACCAGCATCTTAAGAAAAGTTCAGTCCTTTTGCTCTCACCTGTGATCTGTATTCCCACCAATTTTGGCTCCTATAATGACATGAGCATACTGATATTTCAGTTTCAGTGGGGACAACTTTTTGGCATGTAGATTAGTCAAGTATTTCTGAGCTCTTTAGTTTGTAAGATTTTTATTTTATTTTTTATTTTATTATTATTATTTTTTTTAGGCAAGGCAACCCTCGGTTAACCTCACAGATTGCAAGGACCTTGTCAGCTTACAATCCCATATTTTTTTTTATATATTTTATTTTTTATGCCTATAACACCTGGTCTTCCTAGGTGGTCTCTCATCCAAGTACTAACCAGGCCCAATCCTGTTTAGCTTCCGAGATCAGACTGATTTTTATTTCTTAGAGTTCGAACATCCATTTTCACCTTGGTCTAAGCTATGGAACATTCAAGGGATTATTTTTTTTTTTTTTGGTGTCCGAAGTTTGTAAGATTTTTAGAGGTCTCATTGTGATTCTTTTACTTCCTCTTCACAGCTACCTACTGCATACAGCTATTATTTTGTCAGTGGATAGGCCTGACCAGCTGGTATCTTTGGTGGACTCCAGTTTTGGAAACAGATGCTTTTGCTTTTTTGTTTGTTTCATAGTTTTACTCTCTATTTTGTGAGAGAATTGGGGGAGACTAAAATACCGTCCTCCCCCTTATTCTTTAAACACAGTCCTCTCTAGGTAAGATTCCATACTATCCTGGTTCTTACCCTAATATTTCTTCATTTCTATTCCTACTCCTCCATGTCATTGCTTTTTCCTAAATTAGCCTATAAATAAATATGAGAAGTATGCAAAGCTATGCCTTAAGGCACTTATTTTCACCTTTTTCAATTTCTTTCTAAATGGTCTGTTCATAGTTGTAATTCCCATCAGTATGCTGATGGCTCACACATTTCAGATCCCTTGTTCTCTGAGATCCTGACCCATATAATTGTGTACTTAACTCTAATGAATGACTCAGCACTCCTAAAGTAACGTATACAAACTGCCTCAAGATTAACCCCCTTTTTGTCTATTTCTAAAATATTTGCCTTTTTTCAATATCTGTAAATAAATTGTGAAAGCCAAAATCCTACAAATCATTCTGGACATTTCCCTCTCTCTCAGTCTTAATAAATTGCTATAATTATTATGAGAATCATCTCCCAAATATTGCTATATTATTGTTCCCTCTGATATAAATTCATTTTAATTTTTATTGTCCATACTTCATAAATCAAGTAAAAATGCGTTTTGTTACATTGATCATAAAAATCCCAACTCCTGCATCACTATTACATGATCAGGCTCTTTTCTACATATCCTACATTACCTCCTGGACTTCTTCCCGAGACTCATTCCTCTTTAGCCTCATCGTATTTTATTTTCTTTTCCTTATGCCTTATATGTTCTTTTTTATAGTCCCAGCTATTTCTTTTGTTTTTCATTTTTATCTCTGGCCCATTCTCCAATCTCCTATTCCACTCTGTTGAGCTCTTCAAGCTTCTTGCTATCCAAGTATCACTCACTTGCTTACCCTGCAAAGTTTTCAACAAGTTCTTTACATGACCAGATTCATTCCTTCTCTTTCAGGTCCCATTATAATTATTCCTTCAGAGAAACTTTTGTAGACCACGTTATTAGAAATTTTCTTCTCCCCATGTATTCCCTATTTATTTCCTTCTTGCACCTATGATAACCTGTTTATATTTTGTTTATTCTTCTGAGCGCTTTTTTAATTTTCTGTTCCTGATGGACTAATATATTTAGGACATATCTATCATGTTAACCACTGGTAAGACAAACATACAATCGGTCACGCAGTAAATGCTTATTTCATATTTTTAGACTGAATAAATAAATTTAACCTCAAGACTAGCAAACTCCAGAAGAGTATTATCAACATCCATTTTCTCTCTATACTATACTACTGAATATAAACTATTAAGCACATTGTCTGCAATATGAAATACTCATTTTCTTTAATAAACTTTAAATAAGCACATAAATATTTATTAAAAATATACTTACTCAAGTTATATTGCAAGAGATTATAATCAAGGACTACTACAAACACTTCCCAAAAGAAAATAGATTTGTTAAAAATAACACCTTACATTGCTTGAGGATTCATAATGCATGTAGTTCCTGGACAGTAACAATTATAGATGTCATCATATGTCAATCCCAGATTAATTCCAAGCAACTGCACCATAACAACTGAAAATGCCTCTAAAGTTATCATCTTCGGATACTTAATACAAAAACAAAAAAAGTTGCCTAAGTTAATTCTTCACTCCTTTGATCTTTTCAATAATTTGTTGGCATATTATCTAAATGCAAATACAAATTTAAGAAACTGGTACACCAAAGCTCATTATTTCTTAAATATATAGAAAAAAATTAGATAAGTTTTTTTTTTTGAGAAATAGTATCTTTAACCCAAATGACATTGACATGTTCAAAATACAATTAATGCTATTATATGCTTTTTTTCCATATTACAGATTTAAATTCCAATAATTTAAAAAAATGTTTTGAGAAGAATAAGCATTGTGTCAGTAACTATACTACTTTCCAAGTAAACACTTAAAAAATACATAAATTCTTAAGAGTTGATTTGGCAGTTCTGACATCAGAAATAGTTTTAGGAGAGAAAGTCAAACTAGTTTTTTGTTTGTTTGTTTGTTTGTTTAAGGCAGAATACTACAATGCCTCACAAGTAGCATTTATTAAAAAAAAAAAAAAGATAAGTACTGATGTGAGCAAGACACAAACCCCTGACAACCAATAATTTTTTTACTCTCTGCATAGTTTTTCCTTTTCCATAATATCATGGAGTTGAAATCATGCAAAATTTAGCCTTTGAGACTGGCGTCTTTCACTAATCACTTAAGTTTCTCCATGTCATTAAGGGCTTGATAGCTCATTTTTTCAATCACTGAATAATAATCCTTTATGTGAATTTACCCAAGTTTGTTTATCCATTCACCTAATAAAGAATATTTTAGTTATTTCCAATTCTTGGCAATTATGAATAAAGCACCTCTAATCATTCATGTGCAGGTTTTTGTGTGGATATAAGTTTTCATCTCTTTTGGGTAAATGCCAAAAAGAATAATATCTAGATCATATGATAAGAGTATGTCGAGTTTTGTAAATAATTGCCAAACTGTTTTCTCTAGCAGCTGTACCATCTCACATTCCTATCAACAATGAATGAGAGTCCCTGCTGCTCTGCATCTTCACAGCATTTGATGTTATGTTTTGCACTTCCAGTACAATGCTGAATAGGAGTGGTGATCTACATTCTTGTCTTATTCCTGATCTTAGAGGGAAAGCATTTCAGTTCTTACCACTAGTGGTGATATTAACTATAGGTATTTTGTAGATGTTCTTTCTCAAGTTTAGGAAGTTCCCTTCTATTTGTAGTTTGCTATATTTCTTTAAAATCATAAATGGTGTTGGATATTGTCAAGTGCCACTTCTGAATGTATTGATATGATCATATGATTTTTTTTTTTTTAGTCTGTTGATGAGATAGACTGCATTAATTGATTTCCAAGTACTGAAACAATCTTACGAATCTGAAATAAATTTCAGGTATAAGTATCAACAAAAAGGTATAAACTATTTTTTAAAATATCTAGCACTGAAATATATAAAATATGAAATAAGAGATCAAGGGATACATAAAAACAAATAATAATGAAAATACAATAGATCAAAACTTTTGGGAGGAGTTTGGAGAAACATAGTGGAGTGAGAGATGTTTCCATATCTCTCCCCTTGAAACAACAATAAGCTGATCATCTAAAACTCAACAAAAAACACACAAAATGCACACCAGCACATCTGAGCATGGAATCTGTGTATAAGAGCTATCACAGTTTAGAACCCCAGGTGTCCAGTGGTAGACAAGGAGAAATAAAGAAGCTGCCTCTCAGAGCTTCCTGTAGGAGGAAGGAGAGGAAAGAAGGTGTGGCAACTTCCCTGAACAGTGCTGCCTGAGAGTGCTGTGAGCTCCACGCGACCAGCCACAGGGCCGAGTCATCAGGGCAGAAAGCAGAGAAGCAAGACAGCAGAGAAATAACAGTTGATTTTTACCAGCTGTGATTGCAAAACTGAGGCTGAGCAGCAGCCGCCAACTACCAATGCAGAGGGCCCCTCCCCCCATATCCTCCGAGATCAAACACCACGGAGCCCAGGGAAATCTGAGCGAACGCTACCGAAACTGTCACTAACACTGACAAGGACTGAGACTGAGAGTAGAGAGCGTGATTAAACATCTATAAGGGAAAAAAAAGACATTATTAAGGCTTTATATAAAGCAGGGATCCAAGAGGCTTAGACACCACCTACTGGAAACCAAAAGAAAAGTGCCTTCTTTGCAACAGGCTAAAGAGAGACCTTTATATAATAAATCTCCTTTCTGGAAAAACAGCAGAATACACTTACATTAATGCCCAGAAGGAGAAATAGTCCATTACACACCATGAACAACCAAGGTGACAAGGCATCTCAGAAAGAAAGAGAAATGACTTAAATGACAGAGAATTCAGGATGGTACTTCTGAAAAAATGCGGTGAGTTCAGAAATGAGTCATATCAACAATTTCAGGAATTGAAAAAACAACTAGATGAGCAGAGCAAGGAGATTGAAACCCTCAAAAAGAACAGAATAGGTCTTCTAGAGATCAAAAACACACTGCAAGAGTTGAAAAATGAAATAGCAAGCTTGGGAAATAGAGTCAACCAAATGGAGGAAAGGATCAGTGATATCGAAGACAGAAAGCTAGAAATAAATCAGAAGAAGAGAGAAAACCGAAGAATGAAAAATAATGAAAGAGAAATACAAGAACGAGCTGATACCATCAGGAGAATAAACATAAGAATAATAGGCATTATCAAAGATTAGAAAAAGGAACAGGGACTAGAAAGCATTTTCAGACAAATAGTTGATGAGAATTTCCCAAATCTAAGGAATAAACTGGAGCTTGGAATTCAAGAAATCAACAGAACACCCAATGATCTTAACCCAAAAAGGCCTTTACCAAGACACATTGTATTAAAATTATCAAAAATCAATGACAAAGAGAATTCTCAGGGTAGCCAGGGAGAACAAGAAGGTAACTTATAAAGGAAAACCCATTAGATTATCGTCGGAATTCTCAGCTCACACCTTACAAGCCAGGAAGGAGTGGAATTAAATATTCAAACTATTAAATGAAAGGAACTACCAGCCTAGAATAATGTATCCAGCTAAGCTCTCCTTTAGATATGAAAGAGAAATAAAGACCTTTTCAGACATAAAAAATTGGAGAATTCTTCACTATGAGACCTTCATTACAGAAAATACGAAAAGGGGTCAGCTCACCTAAAACAAAATGACAAAAAAAAAAATTACATAATTAGGAGTAAGGCAACTATCAGGCAAACAGAATCAGAGGAGTGCAACCCTTACTAAGAACAGGGTATTATAAGCTGAAACAATAAGAAGAGAATTGCTATAGCAAGATAGTAATGAACGTTCAGCATACATGGGAATAAATTGAGAAAACAGTGATTGAAAAGCGAAGGATTCAAAGATTCAAATTCACAAAAGGGAATGGAGATAAGGCACGTGCAGAAGAAAACGGACAACTGTATACATATTCATAATGGTACCCACACACCAATGATTCAGAACTGAAGTATATAACATAAAACAAGAAGAACCAGAGGGAAACCAACAAAAGCCAACCTAAATAAATAAAACAGAAACACAAAAACAAGGAAACAATGGAAACACCAAGCTACAAGAAAGCGACAGATAACATGGCTGTAAGAAGACCTCAATCACCCTAAATGTAATTGGATTGAACTCAAGAATACAAAGGCACAGAGTTGCACAATGGATCAAAAAATAAAACCTAACCATATGCTGCCTCTAGGAGACACATCTCAGTACCAAAGACAAATACAGACGCAAAATGAAAGGGTAGAAAATGATAATTCAAGCAAATGGCATTCAGAGAAAAGTGGGAGTAGTAGTGCTAATATCAGATGAAATAGACTTCAAAATAAAAAAGGTGAAGAAAGATACTGAGGGATACTTCATAATGATAAAGAGAATCATGTCCCAAAAAGACAAAACGCTTATTATTATCTATGTTCCCAATCAGGGAGCCCCAAAATATGTAAAGCAATTACTAACAGAACTAAAGAGAGAAACACAAGGATCGACCACATACTGAGACACAGAGAGCCTCAACAAATATAAGAGGGTTGAAATCATACCAACCATATTCTCTGATCATAATGCTTTGAAACTAAAGATCAACTGCAAAAAGAAATCAGGAAGAACCACAAATACATGGAGATTAAACAACATATTACTGAAGAATAACTGAGTCAGAGAAGAAATAAAAAGAAAGATCAAGAATGATAATGATAGTACAACATATCAAAACTTTTGGGACACGGCAAAAATGGTCATTAAAGGAAAGTTCATGTCATTACAGCCATATCTCCCAAAACAAGATCGAGCCCGAATACACAACCTAATGCTTCATCTTAAAAAAATAGAAAAAGAGGAACAAATGAAGCCTAAAGTCAGCAGAAGGAAAGAAATAATCAAAATTAGAGCAGAAATAAATGAAACTGAAAACAAAAAAATGGAAAAAATAAATGCAACAAAAGCTAGTTCTTTGAAATGAGCAAGAAAATTGACAAATCCCTGGCTAGACTCACAAAGGAAAAAAGAGAAAAGACACAAATAAAATCAGAAATGAAAGAGAACTTATGACAGATACCACAGAAATACAAAGGATCATATAAGAATATTATAAAAGATTACATGCCAACAAATTCAATATCCTAGAAGAAATGAGCAAGTTCTTAGAAATATATAATCTTCCTAGACTGAATCATGAAAACCTGGAAAATCTAAACAGGCTGCTCAACAGCAAGGTAAATGAAACAATCATCAAAAACTCCCAAAAAATAAAAGTCCAGGACAAGATGGCTTTATTAGTAAATTCTACCAAATGTTCAAAGATGATTTAATACCTATACTTCTCAAACTCTTTCAAAATTTTGAAGAAGAGGTGCTACTTCCTAACTCATTTTATGAGGACAACATTACTCTAATACCAAAACCTGGTAAGGATAACCAAAAAAAAAAAAAAAAAAAGAAAAAAACTACAGACCAATATCTCTGATGAATACAGATACAAAATACCTAAACAAAATACTAGCAAATCGAATATGACAATACATCACAAAGATTATACATCGCTATCAAATGGGGTTCACTCCAGGAGCACAAGGATGATTCAACATATGCAAATTGATCAATGTGATGCACTACATAAACAAAATAAGAGATAAAAATCATATGATCATATTGATAGAGGCAGAAAAAGCAAGTGGAAATATACAGCATCCACTTAATAAAATAGGTATAGAACGAAAGTACCTCGACAATATAAAGCCCATATACAATAAACCCTCAATGAATATCATACCTAATGGTGAAAAACTGAAAGCGTTTTTCTAAGATAAACAATAAAATTTCAGAAAAAAAAAATTCCTTTTGCAATTGTAATAAAAGAATAAAATACTTAGGAATAAACTTAACAAAGAATGTGAAGGATCTATATGCTGAAAAGTACAGGCATTATTAAAAGAAATTGAGGAAGACACATAGAGATGGAAAGATATTGCATGTAAATGGATAAGAAGAATCAACATAGTTAAAATGATCATATTACCTGAAGCAATATACAGATTTAATGCAATTCTCATCAACATCCCAATGATATGTTCTAAAGAAACAGAACAAAAAATCATCAGATTTGTATGGAATCACAAAAGCCCCCAAATAATCAAAGCAATCCTGAGGAAGAACAAGGCCAGAGATATCACACTGCCTGACTTCAAACTATACTACAAAGTGACAATAATCAAAAAACTTTGTTTTTTGCAGATAAACAGACACACAGACCAATGGATAGAATTGAGAGCGCAGAAATAAACCCACACATATCTGGGCAAATAATTTTCAACAAAGGAGCCAAAAACATACAATGGAGAAAAAAAAGCCTCTTCAACAAATGGTGCTGGGGAAATTGAAAAGCCGTATGCAAAACAATGAAACTAAATACACTAAAATTAACTAAAAATGGATCAAATACCTGATTATAAGACCTGAAACAATAAGTTGCATAAAAGACAACATAGGTACTAAATTCATAGACCATCGATTTAAGACAGGATTTTATGAATTTGACCTCAAAAACAAGAATAGTAAAAGCAAAAGTAAATAAATGAAACTATATCAAACTAAAAAGCTTTTGGACAACAAAAGAAACCATCAACAAAATAAAGAGGCAACCAACTGAAAGGGAGATATGTGTGCAAACAACACCTCCTATAGGGGCCTAATATCTAAAATATACGAAAAACACATACAACTCAACAACAAAAAAACAATCTAATTAAAAAATGGACAGAAGACCTGAACAGACATTTCTCTCAAGAAGACATGGACGGACCTTGAGATAATCATGCTAAGCAAAATAAGCCAGATCGAAAAAGTTGAAAACCACATGATATCACTTATACGTGGGATATAAAGCTAAAAGCAACAAACTAACAGGACAAACAGAGACTCATGGACATGGACAATAGACTAGTGGTTACTAGAGGATGTGGCGGAGGGGGAAGGTAGATGGGGTAAAAGGGGTCAAATATGTGGTGACAGAAAGAAATCTAACTATGAGAGGAGAACACACAATACAATATATATATGCCTTACTGTTAAATTGTATACCTGAAACTTACTGGATTTCATTAATCAATGTCACCAAAAATGAATAAATTAATTAAAAAAAGAATCATAGAATGAAGTTTCAAAATACAATTAATGTAATCAACTCCATAAATGATTAAACTTTTATTGATAAAAAAGACATGCAAATAGCCAACAGACATATGAAGAGATGCTCAACTTTACTAGCTTTTAGGGAAATGCAAATCAAAACCACAATGAGATACCATCTCACACCTGTTAGGATGGCTGTTATCAACAAGGCAAGTAATAACAAGTGATGGAGAGGTTGTGGGGAAAAAGGAACCCTCATACATTGCTGATGGGAATGCAAATTGGTACAGACACTGTGGAAAACAGTATAAAGGTTCTTAAAAGAATTGAGAATAGAATTACCATATGACCCAGAATTCCCAAAATTTTGAATACATGTATTCATAAAGATATATGCACCCTGATGTTTATTTCAGCATTATTGATGGTGGCCAAGACACGGAAACAACTGAAGTGTCTTTCAGTAGATGACTGGATAAAGATGATATGGTACAATTATACAATCAGCCATTAGAAAAGATCAAATACTGCCATGGACAACAACATAAATGGATCTTGAGATTATCATGCTAAGCAAAATAAGCCAGATAGAAAAAGTTGAGAACCATATGATTTCATGTTCATATAGGATATAAAGCTGAATGCAACAAATAAACAAAACAACAAAACTCAGACACAGAAACAGTTTAGTGATTACCAGAGGACAAGGGAGTAGTGTGGAAGGTAGATAAGTGTAAAGGGTATAAGATATATGGTGACATAGGGATATTTGACTTTGGGTGGTCAACACACAACGCAATACACAGATTATGTATTATCAAATTGTATACTTCAAACCTATATAATTTTATTAACCAATGTCACCCCAATAAATTTAATTTAAAAAAATTGACATTGGTATCTCAAGGAGATGTCTGCACTTCCATGTTCATTGCAACATTATTCACAATAGCTAAGATATGAAAACAACCTAAGTGTCCACTGACAGATGAATAAAAAAATACATATGTAATACATACTGGAATTTTATTCACTCAAAAAAATAATGAAAATGACACAGATGCACTTGGATGGTACTATGCTAAATGAAACAAGCCAGACAGAGAAAGACAAATACTGCATGATCTCCCTTATTTGTGGAATCTAAAAATGTCATACTCACTGTAGCAGAGAGTGGAATGGTGGTGGCTTGCCAGCGGGTAGAGGATTTGGAAAATGGGGTCATATTGCTCAAAGGCTACAAAGCTTCAGTTATGCAAGATGAAAAGCTCTGGAGATATGTTTCATACCAATGTAAAGAAACTTAACACAACTAAACTTTACACCTAAAAGTAATTGAATATTTTATGCGATATGTATTTTACCATTATAAAAATCTTTTAAAACCTGTGATATTTTAGTTTCAAAATCCATAAGAAAGCATTTTCTAAAATTCTGTCAAAACTGCATGGTAGATATACTATATATACTTTTGTTTCTCAAAGTATATATTAACTTTCAAAATGTTGTATAAGTACTGAAAGATGGGAATAAAATGCATACCAGAGCAATCCCTGCAGCAAGCTTTGGATCACATGCCATTCCATGATATGTTGCTCCCACATAGTTAGGAGAGTTCCTATAACTAAATAATACATTTTTTCTTGTTGAGAAATGCATTTTAAATCGTTAATGACTTATTGAGCTTTTAAGAATTAGATTCCTCACTAAAGCTTAGTTTTCTTTAAAATGTGAATAATACATATCCTGCCCAACACTTTCAATCATTTTGTATTTAGATCCAAAAAATTAATCAACACTGCTGTCACCACTGGACCTAAATAATTCTAAGATGTTAAAATCAGGATAGCTTACTGCCATGATGTGTACATAGTGAACCCTTAAAGTGTGTAAGAGTGTTGGATTGGAGGGCAAGCAGAGAAAGAGACAGAATATGCAGTAGACTCACTAAGAAAAAGACACAAAGAGGATATACAAAGCGTCCTCACTCGTTTAAGCTCTTAGTGTTGCTCCCCAAACTTGACCTTAGATTCCACAGGAGACACCAAGAGATTTATAAATGTATTCCATAGTGCTTAAGACTTCAGAATTGTGTTTTTGGGTTTTTCCATCTAAAATAATCAAATTATTAAAACAAAAATCTATATAAAGACTCTTGAAAGATATGGTGCATATTAAATAGCTACACCTTAGGTTATATAAAAATACCAAAAGGTAGCCACATTACTATTTTAATGTTTTGTATTAACCAGCTTCATATGTAATTATTGCATTGTTAACTTATTTATATTTTATTTAATATTAAAATGATGGTTTCAATTATTTATCTCTGAGAAAATCTTTAAAAACACAAGAGGCCAGAGGCCCCATGTTTATCCTAAGGCTTTCTTATTTCCCAGTTCATTACACTTCTATAGGTAAACAGTCCACTCTGAGAATAATGGCCTACCATGATTTTGTGTCTTACCTTATTATCTGATTTTTATATTTTGCACTCTTTTTTCTTGAGGTGTCTTATTATACATAATAAATTTTGTATGTAATTTTGATAGTCAACATCAAATAATTTGTTATACCCTATATCAATACAAATATGATACTTACATTAATAAGAATGCCATATCATGGGACCTTTGAATCAAAAATCTTTCTTTCCATGACACAAATCTTTGTAATACTTCATTAGCATCCCCATTAGATGGAATCTTATTTTGATCTGACCAGAGCTCCAAAGATGTTAACTTAACAGTCAGTTTAAGCTGGGAAAACATCTGAAAACAGAAGATATACAATATACAGTTTAGGTAATCATAAACATAACATTACTTTTCTTACATAATGCTAATATATTCAATTTACTGTTAATTGGATATAAATCCATTGGTGGGTGAAACTGCTTGGCAGGGATATACATTTTATAACAATGTAAATGCTATTTATGCAAATAATGTTATGGCATTAACAGAGTGTTTCTTATTTAAATATAAAACATAAATACTTACAGTGTTGATAAGACCGAAGATATAAACAACTTTCTCAGCTGCAACTGCCACTTCAGAGCCCATATAATCATACTAAAAGACAAAGTTGGTTTCTTAATCACTAGTGAAAATCACTAAACTACCATATTTTAAATGCACATAAAATGTTACAATAATGTAGTGCTCAACTGAAAGGACATAAGCAGAATTAAAATTTATCAAATGCTTAATAATTTGTAGACATAAAGTAAACCTAGGGCCTTCATGTATTAATCAATAGTATTAAAGTGATATGGTTGTGATTACCTTTCTCTTTACACATATAAAAATTAAGGGTGAAAAGTTAAGGTTCCAAGATCACACAATGCTAAGGGTGAGAACAAGGACTCAAATCTCTAACTAAACACTAAGTCTTTTGGTTTAAATACAGAGCTCTGAGTAATAGTAGTGAACAATATCAAGAATATTTTCTCATTTAAAAGAACAAAAGTCATAAGATTTTCTCTGAAACATTTCAAATTGTATGTATATTTGCAGAAAACATAAAAAGTGGCAGCTGGGATCTTTAATAATCTCCAGCAAGTTTGCATAAGACTACTGGCAGAAAATAAAATGAAATGGATAGAGTTCTCTGATATAGAAAAAAAAAGAGATGCTATCCTACTAGCTCTTTAAAGACTGCTTGCACTTTGCAATTTCTCTATACGTAACTTTTCCCGAAAAACCTTATTTTCTGTTTACAAAATACAGCATGTGTGGTATGAATGAAAGTGACCCTTTGCAAGGCCAAACATATGAAAAGCAAGAGAAAGAAATTAAAATATAATTATTGAAATGAATTTGCATATGTCAATAATCACAAATTATCAATAGCCCAAACACTAGGGCTATTGATAATTGTAAAACAACCCAGTATATACAGATTAAAATTCTTTTTAAAACCCTAACTTAAAAGGACATTGAAATATGAATTGAAGCATGAAAATATATACCAGGAAAATTGGAGACAAAATGCATATTTTATATTATATGACAGTTATATTAATTAGTATAATAGTTACATTAATATGAAAAAAAGCTTAAGGCAAAAAATGGATATAATATGGACATATTATAATATATATATTTATATATTTTTTCATATAATAATATTATATATAATAATATTATATATTATATGTATAATATATAATATGGACATATAATAATGGACATAACTGAATATCAACAAAATATTCATCAGAAAGATGGAAGCATTCTAAACCTGATTATATCTAATAGCATAGGAACACAATATAAAAAACAAACTTTAACAGAATTATAAATAGAAATTAACATCATAGTAAGGAATTTTTACATAGTTCTCTGAATCATTAAAAGATCAAGGCTGACTTCTGGTCATGATGGCAGGATAAGTAAATGCTGTGCTCACATCCTCCAATGACCACATCAAAACTATAACTAACTTACAGAACAACCATCATTGAGAACCACCTGAACATAAGCTTAATAGAAATCCTGTAACTAAGGATATAAAGAAGAAGCCACACGAGACTTGTAGGAGGGGTGGAGATGCTGAACGGGCAGGTCCCACATGCATAGTGTGGTGGTTAAGAAGTGAGAGAAATATCTCTGTTGTGGAGGTCCCCTCTGAGGAGCTAGGGCTTCCAGCCTCACACCAGGCATCCAGTAGGTGTTGTGGTCGAGTGAGATGAATAGCTGCTTGAGACCTAGGAGATGCAGGTCATAAAGGGACTGCCCGCAAACTTGTTCACTCACAAATTCACCCCCTCTGAACTCTAGCAGTGGGATAGAAATTTATCTCCTCCTCATAAGCACCAGGGACTTATGAGGAGGGGATAAATTGACTAACTTTCGGTGAGAGCTGGAGGGGCAGGGGAAAGGGAAGCTCTCTCAAGACGGAAGTGTTGGCAGACACCATTGTTCTTTTGTTGAGCTCTCCCTGCACCCAGTCAGCAGGTACATGTGGATGCCACATCTGAGCTCCCCATTAAATGGGATAACACCCTTCAACCAACCCTGGTGATTCCTTGAGACTCCACCCCACCCAAATCATACACGCAGGCAGAATCTGTCCAGGTAGCTTTTTCACATAAGTGATTTTCCTCAACTGATGCTGTGGACTTTCCTAAAATCTCTCAAAGGTCCACAAACCCAAAACAAGCAGCAGCTGAACTCAATGTGCCCGTACCTGTTGCTAAGCAGCCCCATGTCCAATAATAGTGGCAGCCAGCCTTGATTTGCAGCCTAGCCACTCCCAGGTGCCTCCAAGCCCAGCACAAGAGGTACCAACTTCAGACCACTTTGTACATCTTACCAGGTGGCTCAGAGCTTGACACAGGCAATGACTGAAATGGCCTGCACTAGAGGCCCTCCCAAGAGGCCCCAAAATCAACACACCTGGTCATCAGCTTCAGACCATACCAGAGCACCACTCAACCAGTTCCACAAATGATGCACTAAAAGGGCAGACACCAGAACCCTGTCAAAGCAATTCCTGCCCTACAGGTTTAGCCCCTGCACCACAGCTCATCTGCTATAGTCCCAGCCTCTGCTCACAGCCAGTCAGCCTGAGAGTCAATTTCACCCACTGGCATACCAACAGCAATCAAGAATGAACTACAACAGGAAGGCACACACAACCCACACAAGAAAAACAGGATTAGGTAAACAGGGAGCAATGGGCTCAGGTAAACAGGGAGGCTACATCACTGGGACCCACAGGACATCTACCACATAAGGCCACTCTGCCAAGACCAGGAGACTGACCTGAAACACAGAAACAAATACAGGGAGTCAGCCAATATAAGAAGACAAAGAAACATATCCCAAATAAAAGATAGGAAAAAACTCCAGAAAAAGAACTAAAAAATGGAGGCAAGCAATCTACCAGATGCAGAATTCAAAACACAGATTGTAAGCATGTTCAATGAACTTAGGGGAACAATAGATGAACTCAGTGACACCTTCAAAAAAGATATAAGGAACACAAAAATGGAGATAGAAAATATAAAAAAGAACCAGTCATAAATGAAGAATAACTGAAATGAAAAATACATGAGAGAAAATCAACAATGGATTACATGAAGCAGAGAATCAAATCAGTGATGTGGAAGATAAGGTAGCAGAAAATACCCAATTAGAACAGCAACAACAACAAAATCCCCCCCAAAATGAGACTGGTTAAAGGGACCTCTAGGACAGCATCAAGCATACCAATATTTACATCATAAGGGTATCGAAAAGAGAAGAGAGAAGGAGCAAGGGATTGAAAAGCTTTTGAAGAAATCATGGAAAACTTTTGTAATTCAGCAGAGGAAATAGACATACAAGTCCAGGAAACACAGAGGGTCCCAAACAAGATGAATCCAAGGAAGATCACACCAAGACACATCATAATTAAAATGCCAAAGTTTAAAGGCAAAGAGAGAATCTTAAAAGCAGTAAAAGAAAAGTAGTTGCCTACAAGAGAGATCCCATATGACTGTTGGCTGATTTCTCAACAGAAGACTTACAAGGCAGAATTTTGGGCATGCAATATTCAGCAAAGAAAAGTAAAGACCTATAACGAAGTTTGCTCTACCCAAAAAAGCTATCATTAGAATCAAGAAAGAGATAAAAAATTTCTCAAACAAGAAAAAACTAAGGGAGTTCATTACCACTACACCAATATTACAAGGAATGTTAAAGAGACTTCTTTAAGAAAAAATCAAAAATATGAATAAGAAAATATAGGAAAAGGAAACTTCTCACTGACAAAAGCAATTTCTTAGAAAAACAGTAGTTCAACCAATGATAAAGCTAGAACAAAAGTTAAAAGGCAAAAGTAGGTAGATCATGTATAATTACAACAATACATTAGGGGATACACACAAACACACATGCACAAAAGAAGTAAAAAAAAATGATACAGCCAAAAATGTGGAAGAGGCGAGTAAAATTCATAGTGACTTTAGGATCTGTTCAAACTTAAGCAACTGTCAACACAGACTCCTAAAAATATAGCTTGCTATAAAAAAGCACTAGGTAACCACAAACTAAAAATCGACAAGAGATATACAAAACATAAAGAGAAAGGAATTCAAATACACTATTGTCATCAACATACAAGAGAGGAAAAGAATAAGAAAGAGAGAACTATAAAAACAATCAGAAAACAATTAATAAAATAGCAATAACTACATACCTCTCAATAATTGTTTTAAATATAAATGGACTAAATGGTCCAATCAAAAGAAATACTGTGACTGAGTGGGGAAAAAAATAAGACCCATATATATGCTGCCTATAAGACACCCATTTCAGATTGAAAGATACACACACTGAAAGTAAAGGAATAGAAAAAGATATTTCATGAAAATGGAAATGAAAAAAGAAAGCTTGGGTATATTTTCATCAGGTAAAACAGACTTTAAAAAAAAGGGGCTGCAACAACAGACAATGAAGGACATTTAATAATGATAAAGGGATCAATCCAATTAGAGGGCATAAATTGTATAAATATTTACATAAACAATGTAGGAGCACCTAAATATATAAAGCAAAAAAACAAACAAAAAACAAAACAAAAAACCAAAAAACCACATGAAAAGAAATACTGACAGTAATACAGTCATAACAGGAGATTCTTTCCAACTGACTGACATCAATGGATAAATAGTCTAGAAGGAAAATCAACAAGAAGAGTGCCTTTAAATGACACATTAGACCAGATAAAATAATTGATATTATTAGAACATTTCACACAAAAGCAACAGAGTATACATTTTTCTCAAGTGCACATGGAACATGACCCAGGACAGACCATATATTAGGCCACAATATAAGTCTAAAGGATTAAAATCACATTAAGTGTCTTCTCTGATCACAATGGTATGAAAGTAGAAATCAATTAATGAAAGCAGTAAATAATAAATGGGCTAACAATGAGATCAAGGGAAAAAAATCAAACAATACCTTGAGACAGATAAGAAGGGAAATAAAATGACACAAAACCTATGGGACACACTCAAAAGAGTCCAAAGAGAAAAATTTATAGCAATATAGGCCTATCTCAAGAAACAAGAAAAATCTCAAATAAACAATCTAATCTTACACCTAAAGGAACTAGAAAGAGAACAACTAAGTCCAAAGTGAGTAGAAAGAAGAAAATAATAAAGATTACAGCAAAAAATAAAGTACAGACTAAAAAAAAAAAATTGGAAAGATAAATGAAATCAAGAGATGGTTTTTTGAAAACATAAACAAAATTGATAGACCTTTAACCAGACTCATCAAGAAAAAAAAAAAAGAGGGCACAAATAAATAAAATCAGAAATGAGAGAGAAGTGATTACTGACACCACAGAAATACAAAAAATTATAAGGAAATACTATAAGCAATTATATGCCAACAAATTGGAAAACCAAATGAAATAGATAAATTTCTAGAAACACAATCTTTCAAGGCTGAATCAAGAAGGAACAGAAAATCTGAACAGACAGACCAACACTAATAAAAACAAATCAGTAGTCAAAAAACTATCAACGGACAAAAGCCCTGGGCCAGATAACTTCATAGGTGAATTTCTCAAACACTCAAAAAATAATTAATAACTGTCCTTCTCACACTAATCCAAAACACTGAACAGGAGAGAAGGCTCCCAAACTCATTTTACAAGGCCAGCATTATCCCGATATCAAAACTAAAGATATTACAAAAAAATTAAATTACAGGTCAACATCTCTGATAATCATAAATACAAAAATCCTCAACAAAATTTTAGCAAAACGAATTCAGCAATTCATTAGAAATATTATACACAACGATTAAGTGGGATATTTTTCTCAGGATACAAGGTTGGTTCGATATCCGCAAACCAATTTAGGCGATACACAACATAAACAAAATGAAGGGTAAAAATTATATGAGTATATCAATAGATGAAAAAACATTTGACAAAACTCAACATCTATTTATGATAAAAACTCAAAAAAGTGGGAATAGAGGAACATCCATCAACATAATAAAGGCCACATATGACGAAATCACAGCTAACATCATAGTGGTGAAAAGCTAAAAGATTATTCTTTAAGATCAAGAACAAGACAAGAATGTTCACTTTCACCACTTTTATTCAACAAAGTAGTGGAATTTCTAGCCACAGCATTCAGACAAGAAAGAGAAATAAAAGGCATCCAAATTGGAAAAAAAGAAGTACAATGTCATTATTTGCAGATAACACGATATTATATAGAGAGAATCCTAAAGAATCCACCAAAAAGCTATTAGATTAAATGGTCCAAACTAAATGAATTCAGTAAATTAGCAAGACACAGATTTAATATTCAGAAATTACTAGCATTTTTATACAGCAATAACAAACAGAAAAAGAAGAAAACAATCTCATTTACTATTACATCAGGAAAATAAAACATCTAGGAATAAATTTAACCAAAATATCTAAAAATAGATATTTTTACCTATACTCAATAAACTATAAAATATTAAAGAAATAAATTTAAAAAGATACAAAATAAATAGAAGGATATGCCATGCACATGGATAGGAAGAAAGAATATTATTAAAATGTCCATACTGTCCAAGGCAATCTAATGATTCAATGCAATCCTCACCAAAATACCAATAGCACTTTTCAAAGAATTAGAAGCCTAAAATGTATAGGGATCCACAAAAGACCCTATATACCCACAGCAATCTTGAGAAAGAACAAAGTTGGAGGTATCATATTACCTGATATCAAACTAGTAGTATTTAATCTACATCCATAAATATCAGCAATTTTGATGAACTTAAGTATACTAAACTTTCTAGTGAAACGGCAGGGATTAGCTGATAGGGTAAAGAAAAAAGTACCTATCAATATGCTGTCAATAGAGTCAGACATTAAAATTTAAGACAGTTAAGTTGAACACAAAAAGAGGAGAAATATTAATCATAGGATATTATTTAAAAAAAACTCCTTGAAGATTTTATTTTCATGATGACGTTTGCATAGAAAACATCTATTATTGGAATGGGAAGAGAGATACAGTTAAGTGGAGAGAAGTTAGTAGCTGTCTAGACTTAATTTTAGCAACCTCATGGAAGTGGCTGTGGTAGAGCATAATTTCAGTGCTCTTGATTCGGAGCCAAATAGTATTTTTCCCCATGTAACAACAACAATGAAAATCTAAATGTCCCTAAAAGAGCATTAGCTAGTAAAATAGTTGAAATTATATTAAATATATTAATTGGACATTATGTAAACATTAAAATTCATGTAAAATAGCATATTTTATTAATGTGAGACAGAACAAAATAGCATACAAAATAGCATATATAAAACAAAGATATGTGAATATTAACATGTATGCTTGTATATATTAAAGACAGAAAATGTGTGCATATAATGCATCTCCTGGAAAATAAAATTATATGTATTTTTTCTTTATTATTTTGTCCTACTCTTTCCTGTTATTGTTGTTATTAAAAATTATTTAAAGATCTAAATATTTCCTTTCATGCACAAAACATGGATCATTATGGCAGTCATTGAGAGATTTTATGTAAAAATATCAGTGATAATGGACAAATCAGATTTTTTAACTTCCTGCCCACATAGCTTTGCTAAATATTTCCATATCTAAATGAATATTCTTATGAACAATTCTTCCCATTATTAAAATATAGGATGTCCACCAGGGAACCCATGTGATTATAAAGCATAAAATATTTTTATAAAGGATAATATTTAATAACAAGGATCACTAATTGAGTAATAAATGAAATAGCTTGTTTTAAAATGGAAATCAACTTAAGGAAGAGAATTTCACCAAAATCTGAGGTGGATTCAGAAATATCTGCAACTAGTTATAATCCTATAGATTATAGTGTAGTAGAAGCCTTCCCTACATACAAAGTTATACATTGTTACTAGAATTCCATACTGATTTAGAGATCAATACCATAAATTCTGGTCCCCCTATTACAGTATAGAGGCAATTGACATTTCCTTATGTCCTGCTATATGGAGATACATATTTTGAACAGAATAAAATATATCTATATTACAAAAAAGAAAATTTAGTTTTCTTATTCCCTTTGAATTTAAATGCAAAACAAAGATATTATGAAATATATCAATAATGCATACCAAGGCTTTATCCATAATAATTTGTATTTTCAGAGTTCTTTTCAATTGCACAACATCTGAATTTTCCTGTGAAACAGAGGACATGAATTAAATACATTTAAAAATTTTTTTATATTGTTTGTGATTATCATATACATTACATATGTATATAAGGAGAAAGTATAGATACACAAATTAATAGATATGGATAGATGATAGATAGATAGATAGATAGATAGATAGATAGATAGATAGATAGATAGATGATAGACAGACACAGACATACAGAGAGGCACATAGATTCATAAAGATATATAGATAATATGAAAATAAGAGGGTAGATGCCGACTAAGTAAATAAGCCGGTGAGAACCCAAATAAATATTTTAGGATCAAATCAAAAGCTTGTACTTTATATTCTTGATAATTAGAATCCTCGAAAAAAGTGACTGAATTGAGAGAGAACTCATAATTCCTCTAAAAACCTTTCTCCAAGATCCTTCCCCAACATTCAATCTAAACTCTTATCGACTTTGCCCCAAACATTGCTTCTATTTTCTCATTATTTTTATACCTTTAATTATTTATACTTAATTAAGTGCATCCATTTTGAGCATATGGTTATATGAATTGGTATTTATGGTAGACCCATGGAACCATTTGCATAAGTAAGACAAAGAATGTTTCTATCACCCTCTTCTAAGTCAATAGCCCACATGGATCAAGGCAACCAATGAGCTGCTTTTATTCAACATAGGTTGTAATAATTGATTCTAGAATTTCATACAACTGGAATCAGATGACATTTCTACCTGGCTTCTTTCACTTGGCATTCATCTGTGTTGTTGTGATTATTAGTAATTCACTAGTTTTTATTGCTAAGCAGCGTACTATTGTAGAAATACATCACAATTGTTTATACATTTATCTGTTGATCATTTGGCTTATTTAGACATTTTAAATTATAATTAAAGCTGCTATAAATATGTACAGGTCTTTGTGCAGTTATAGTCTTTCATTTTTCCCGGTAAATACTTAGAAATGGAATGCCTTAGGCATATAGTAATTGTGCATGCGTAAAGTAGTACAAAAGTACCAGGCTATTTTTTGAAGTAGTTTGATTATTCAGCATTTTCACCAAGATTTAATGAGTGCCCATTGCTCTACATTCTTGGGTATATTTGGTATTGTCAGTCTTTTTCATTGTACCCATTCTTGTTAGCCTGTATTGATATGTCACTGAGATTTTTATTTATTTATTTATACTATTATTTTTTATTATTATTAGGCGAGGCAACCTTTGGTTGACCTCACAGATTGCAAGGACCTGGTCAACTTACAATCCCTTATATTTTTATTTTATTTTTTACGCCTACAGCACCTGGTCTTCCTAGGTGGTCTCCCATCCAAGTACTAACCAGGCCCGACCTTGCTTAGCTTCTGAGATCAGACGAGATCGGGTACGTTCAGAGTAGCATGACCATAGACTCACTGAGATTTTAATGTACAGTTCTGTGAATAATGACGTTGGACATCTTTTCACATGCTATGGATCATTAATTTCAATTCTCCTAAGTTTCCTACTAGAAATTTTATGTTTAGCTTTGGCATTGAAGTCTAGGCTCTAGTTTACTTTTTAAATAAGGGCTGAGACTCATTTTATTCCATATAGATATCCAGTTACCTAGCATCATTTGTTGAAGAAATCATTCTTTAACCTTCCAAACTCTGTAGCACCTTTGTGGAAAATCAATTAGCCAATAACATGTGAGTCTACTTCTGATCTATTCTGTTGCATTGTTCTGTATGTCTATATTTACACCAATAGTAAAATATGTATTTCCATAGTGGTATACAGTTATATGAATTGTAGGGGTTATAGCAGGTGTCAACAAACTATGGTCCACGATATGGCCGCCTGTTTTGTAAAAAATATTTTATTGGAACACAGCCACACCCATTTATTTATATATTGTCTATGCTACCTTTATGCTACAAAGGCTGAGTGAAGTAGCTGCAACAAACCATATGCCCCACAAGCCTAAAATATTTACTATCTGGTCCTTTAAGAGAAAAATACTTTAAGTTCTCTATCTTGTTCTTTTTAAAGCTATTTGAATATTCTAAGATATTTGAATCTTCTTATGAATTTGAGAACCAATTCTACAAAATGTTTTCTGGAATTTCTGGAACATTGAATCTATGTCAATTTAGGGAGATGAACATCTTAACCATGTGAATTTCTTTGTTTTCTGTGGCTCTTCTTAGTCCTAATAGCTTTGGTGGAAATTTTCTATTACAGAGTTAGGTGATTAAAACCATAGGGCTAATTTTACTTTTAAAAATGTGTGCCCTTTATTACTATTCTTACTCCTATTGCACTACCTAAAATATTTAGTAAAATGTTGACTCTAGTGAGGGTAGGGAGCCTTGCATTATTCCTAAACATAAGGGCTGTTTTAGTCATTTCAGTCTATAACAGATATACCATAGACTAGGCAGCTCAAACTTCTAGTCTATTTCTCACAGTTCTGGAGGCTGGGAAGTTCAAGATCAAGAAACTACAAATGTGTCTGGTGAGAGCACTCTTCCCAGTTCAAAGATGGGCATCTTTTCTTTGTATGCTCACATGACAGAGCAGAGAGATCCCATGTCTCTTCATTTTTTTTTTTTTTAATAAGAGCACTAATCCCATCACGAGAGTCACATCCTCATGCCCTAATCTAAATGTATTACATTCCACAGACCTAACCTCCTAATTTCATCGTATTGAGAGTTAGGGTTTCAACATACGAATTTTGAGAGGACACAAGTATGCATGCAGTCCATAATAGGGGCAAAACATTCAGTCATTACCATTCATTAGGTTAGCTGTAGATACTAGTAGGTGTTCTTTTTTCATTACGAAGTTTTCTATTCCTAGTTTTTTGTTTTTGTTTTTGTTTTTGTTTTTTATCGTGAATGGGTACTGAATTTGGCTCAGTGATATTTCTGGAACTACTGACATTAACCTGTGGTTTTCTACATAAATCTGTTAAATTGTTTGATTCAATCCCTACTTTGTGGTACTGAATTAAGTAATATTACTTCAGTGTATTGCAGATGCTCTAAACTCAGAATTTCTGAGAGTAGGAATGCTTCTATACTATAATAGCAAATTGACTTGGTAAAAATTGTTAGGATATGGTATATCCCCTAGGAAAGCCATACTTTGTATTGCCTAGACAGACATTCTTGACTGTCTTGTAAGCACTTCATTTTGGCAAAGGCTAAAGCAAGTTTGAGTTCTTCTACCTTTGTGGATGATGTTCCTTGAGGCTAGGATGCTTATTTATTTATAAAGTCCAATATGTTCAATTTTTATTTATGAAGTCCAACATATTAACATTATACCTTAGTGTTGCCAGTTTTCACCAGGGTTTCTTGGGAAAATTTTCAATTTAGGCCTCATTTACAAAAAATTTTATTCCTAATAACTTGGAATATTTTTTTATTAAGTTTATTGGGATAACATTGGTTAATACAATTGTATAATTTTCAGGTGTATATTATCATTTGACATCTGTATATTCTATTGTGTGTTTACCACCCAAAGTCCAGTTTCCTTCAGCTACCATATTTTTGATCCCCTTTACCCACTTCATCCTTCCCCTACCCCCCTATATTTGACCCCCTTTTTGCCATCTACCTCCCCTCTCCTCCCCCAACCCCTATCCTCTGGTAACCACTAGTCCATTGTCCATGTCCATGAGTCTCTGTTTGCTTGTCCTGTTCATTTGTTGCTTTTAGGTTTATATCCCACATATAAGTGATATCATGTGATTTTCAACTTTTTCTGTCTAGATTATTTCGCTTAGCATGATTATCTCGAGTTCCATCCATGTTGTTGCAAATGGCAGCATTTCATCTCTTCTTATGGCTGAGTAATATTCCATTGTATATATGTATCACAG